AGTGACGCCAGGGGCACCATGAGCTCCAGGTGTGTGGTGCCAGGAGCAGCCTCGTGGGACCCAGAGTGTGTCCCAAGCCCACGGTCCCTCATGGAGCTGCTGCTGGATCCTTCAGCCATCAGGTCTCTGCAGATATGGGAGTCCCGCCGGAATTACCATGTGTGCTCATGCAACTCTAGCAACATGGATGGTATTGCTCCTTTTCAGTGCTCTGCTAAGTTATATTTTATATGAAGATGTCCAATACATTTGAGAAAATTGTACTTGAGTCAATCCATTCCTGTGTTGATAACATTCCAGCATAGAATTTTATACATGCATTTTTTTCTCTTTTTTAAAATATATTTTATTGATTTTTTACAGAGAGGAAGGGAAAGGGATAGAAAGTTAGAAACATTAATGAGAGAGAAACACCGATCACCTGCCTCCTGCACCCCCCCTACTGGAGATGTGCCCGCAACCAAGGTACATGCCCTTGACTGGAATCGAACCTAGGACCCTTCAGTCCACAGCATGCATTTTTCTTGATGACTACAGCATTCTAATTTGTTTTTTAAAACCATTTCTATTGATTTAAGAGAAGAAGGGTGAGGGAGAGATAGAAACATCAATGATGAGAGAGAATCATAGACCATCTGCCTCTGGCACACCCCACATTAGGGATTGAACCTGCAAACTGGGCATGAGCGCTGACCAGGAATTGAACCCCCACTTCCTGGTTTGTTGGTTGACATTCCATCACTGAGTCATGCCCCTGGGCTAATTTCTCTTTTTTTAAGTTACATTTGAACATAACGTCTCATGTTCATAGCTTGCTTTTCAGGTTGATCTTTAGTGAGGAGCTCCCATAGGGAGTTCACAGTTGACATTATTTATTAAATAAAGAATATGCCCTGTCTATGGGCACTGGTCTCTGTGAGGTCATGGTTTTCTCCAACCCATCTGCTCCTTCTCTGGAGGCTTGCAGCATTTAGTGTTTGCCCTTCAGCAGTGACACATGTATGTGACAATTGAAGCAGTCCCTGAAACCTACTCTTCTCCCATGCCCCTCCATCTGGGTTCCTCTTCCAGCTCCGGTTCCTCAGAGTTTGATCTTTTCCATCTTGTGGTTGCGTGGCTGGGCACAGCTGCTGGTTCCTCAGGTCTGCGTTTGGCAGGTGTCCCTTCCAGAGTGCCCCTCCACAGGGCTCCATGTCCCGACCTGGCCCTGCTCCCGTCTCCTCCTCCTCTGGGGTCAGCATGCGATTCAGAATGAGTGCTGTTGGATGTGCGGCATTGCAGACAGATATGTGTGGTGCTCTTGTCTCCAAGAAGCTAGACTGATGGCTGAGGCAGTCCACCTTGACTTAGCAGGTGAGGAGGGGTGCTTACAGGCAAATCCCATTGCCCAGGCAGGTTGCTCTGTGCTGAGTGTGCAGTACTGCGGCCCTATAGCAGTACTGCACACTCAGACGGGGTCTTAAAACGTGTGCCCTGTGGGGGTGTGTATCCTACTGTGTGCATGTTGATGTGCTGATTTGAAAAGTACTGACTCTTCCAGCATAAACACTTCAGCTGGCTGGAATAAAGGGCGCCTGAGAGGAGCTCACTGCCACTATTGTCAGGTGTTTGCAATGACTTTTTGCCTGTTTTCTCTTTCATATACAATATCTAATCTTTATTGTTAAGATTATTACAGATATCCCTCTTATTTCCCCCATAGCTTCACTCCACCTGGGTCCCACCCACTACAGGCCCTTGCCATCTTATTGTCTGGGTGGGAACTGGGTGGAGGGGAGTTATTGGGGAGGGGGGGAACAGGGGAACAATTGTAATAATCTGAAATACAAAGAAGCATACTTACTGCATATATGCATATAAGATCTTTGTCTAATCTCTTCCCTCATCACCCCACATCCTATTCTCTCTGAGAATCATCTGTTTAATTTCTATGCCCCTGATTCTGTTCCATTCACCAGTTTATTCTGTTCATCAGATTTTTTAATTCATTTTTAGATTCACTTGTTGATAGATATGTTTCTGTTGTCACTATATTGTTCATAATTTTCTATCCTTTACCTTCTTCTTCTTCTTCTTAAAAAATACCATTCAGCATTTCATATAATACTAGTTTGGTAGTGATGAACTCCTTTAGCTTTTACTTATCTGTGAAGCTCTTGATCTGACCTTCAATTCTGCATGATAGCTGTGCTGGGTAGAGTAATCTTGGTTGTAGATTCTTGCTATTCATCACTCTGAATATTTCTTGCCAGTCCCTTCTGGACTGCATAGTTTCTGTTGAGAAATTAGCTGACAGTCCTATGGGTACTCCCTTGTAGGTAACTAACTTTTTCTCTTGCTGCTTTTAAGATTCTCTCTTTGGGAAAAACTAATATGGTAGCATAGGTAAATACCTAAACTGCTGCCTCACACAACAATATCAAAACTACAACTAAAAGACGAAATGGACACCATCCAGAACCATAGAAAAGCTAGCTGAGTGTAAATTCTACAACTAAAAGAAAAGAGGAAAGCACATTGATTCTGAGGAGCTGCAAAAGGCTGAGGTACGGAGATGCGCATACGGAGGGGACGGGCGACTATGTGCATGGGCAGCTGAGTGTGTGGCTGGCTTTCTAAAGTGGGAGGGAGACAAGGGCTCACAACTGTGCTGAATTCCAGTTCCAGATGAGTTTCTGGGAACCCCGACTCATTTGGGGAGAAACTACTGGCCTGCAGCAGGCAAAACTCGAGGGTGGCTTTCTCTCAGAGGTGCTTGCAGTGATTACTGAGGGACACTGAGACCCAGGGGCCTCATAGGGCCAGGCTGACGGGAAAGCCGTCTGCTCCACCATGAAACTCTACCCCATCCAAGCTGAGCACACAGGCTTTTGCAATTTTGCAAGTCTTGTCTCATGAGAGTGTCTCCAGCACAGAAGTTCTTCCAGCGTAGACACAGCTGATCCTCTCAGCCATTTGGCCTGGAGGTCAGTTCCTCCCAGTGATACCAACAACCATCAAGACTTAACTACAAAAAGGCTGAGCACACAGTCCACAAAGGGGTGCACCCCAAGTGTCCACCTCAGGTAACTGGGGAGGCTGAGCCACTGTGCCCTATAGGACACCTAGCACACAAAGCTACTCTACCAGCTCAGGAAAGCAGCAAAAATGCGGAGACAAAGAAACACATCACAAATGAAAGAAATGGAGGAAAGTAAACGACTGGATATAAAGTTCAAAACCATGGTCATAAAGTTTTTCAAGAATTTCCTAGAAAATGCTGATAATATTAGTGAGACCCTTGAGGTTATGAAAAAGACCAACTAGTAATTGAACATATACTGACTAAAATAAAAAATAATATACAGAGATACAACAGCAGACTAGAGAATCGCAAGAACCAAGTTAAAGATTTGAAATACAAAGAAGCAAAAACACCCAACTGGAAAAGCAAAAATAAAAAAGAATCCAAAAATATGAAGATAGTGTAAGGAGCCTCTGGGACAACTTCAAGCGTACCAACATGCATATTATGAGGGCTCCAGAAGAAGAGAGAGAGCAAGATATGGAAAACCTATTTGAAGAAATAATGACTGAAAACTTCCCCCACTTGATGAAAGAAATAGTCTTACAAGTCCAGGAAGTGCACAGAAGCCCAAACAAGGAATCCAAAGAGGACCACACCAGGACACATCATAATCAAAATGCCAAGAGCAAAACACAAAGAATGTTAAATCAGCAAGAAAAAAACAGTTAATTACCTACAAGGGAGCACTCATATAATTGTCAGCTGATTTCTCAACAGAAACTATGCAGACCAGATGGGAGTGGCAAGAAATATTCAAAGTGATGAATAGCAAGAACCTACAACCAAGATTACCTTACCCAGCAAAGCTATCATTTAGAATTGAAGGTCAGATCAAGAGGCTTCACAGATAAGAAAAAGCTAAAGGAGTTCATCACCACCAAACCTATATTATGTGAAATGCTGAAAGGTATTCTTTAATAAAAGGAAGAGGAAGAAATAGGTAAAGATAAAAATTATGAACAACAAATACATGTCTATCAGCAAGTGAATCTAAAAATCAAGTGAATAGAGTGGCCGAGGAGGCGGCGCGGCAGACGGTGGCCAGAGAAGAGCCTGGGCTGGCCCCGAGGAATGCTCTTGCCGCCGCCACCGCCACCGCTGCTGGGACTAAGGTTATGAATGTGATTTTTAGAAAAATATATTTTATTGATTTTGTACAGAGAAGAAGGGAGAGAGATAGAGAGTTAGAAACATCGATGAGAGAGTCATTGATCAGCTGCCTCTTGCACACCCCCTACTGGGGATATGCCCGCAACCAAGGTACATGCCCTTGACCGGAATCGAACCCGGGACCCTTCAGTCCCCAAGTCAACGCTCTATCCATTGAGCCAAACTGGTCTTGGCTTGAATGTGATTTTTGATGAAACTGGATTGGAAACATTTTCATGGTTTTTGTATATTTATATATATGTATTTTAAAATTTTGCATTTGACTTAAAGTGCCATGAGAAAGTTTGCATATTGCAAGGTGGTCCTAGCCACCCCCTTGATTTGGGTGCTTTTTGATATGTTCCTGCTGCTTTACTTCAGTGAATGCAACAAATGTGATGAAAAAAAGGAGAGAGGACTTCCTGCTGGGGATGTTTTAGAGCCAGTACAAAAGCCTCATGAAGGTCCGGGAGAAATGGGAAAACCAGTCGTCATTCCTAAAGAGGATCAAGAAAAGATGAAAGAGATGTTTAAAATCAACCAGTTCAACTTAATGGCAAGCGAGATGATTGCACTCAACAGATCTTTACCTGATGTTAGGCTAGAAGGGTGTAAAAGGTGTATCCAGATAATCTTCCTACAACAAGTGGGGTGATTGTTTTCCACAATGAGGCCTGGAGCACACTTCTGCGATAGTGTCATAAATCCATAGTGTCATAAATCGCTCACCAAGACACATGCTAGAAGAAATTGTTCTAGTAGATGATGCCAGTGAAAGAGAATTCCCAAGATAGAACTGGTAGCCAGTATATTAAGTATATATATATATTTAAAATATGTATTTTATTGATTTTGTACAGAGAGGAAGGGAGAGAGGTAGAGAGTTAGAAACATCGATGAGAGAGAGCCATCGATCAGTTGCCTCTTGCACACCCCCTACTGGGGATATGCCCACAACCAAGGTACATGCCCTTGATCGGAATTGAACCCGGAACCCTTTAGTCCCCAAGACTACGCTCTATCCATTGAGCCAAACTGGTCTCGGCCAGTATATTAAAGATTGTTATAAAAATATATGAAAAGAACTGGAACCAGGTTCAGAATCATGAAAACAACATTTTTACAAAAAAAAAAAAAAATAAACTATATTAAACAGGGTTTAAAGGGAATTAAAACAGAACTATGAGAAGTACAATTTGTTATAGTATAGTATCAAATTTCTATATAGATTTTATACCTTGGTGGGGGAAAAACAACTGATTCCAGTGACGTTCATTTTGTTTTCATCTGTGATAGTCATGGATGCTTTTTTATTTCTCCTTGGGGTGCTGAAATTGAGCTGGGGAAAAAGACTCTTTGAAAGTAGTTTTAATTGCTTTCTACGATTTTTAAAATATGGTTTGTGGGCTGTTGGAATTGTATTTTTTTTAAAATAAATTTTTATTGTTCATATTATTACAAATGTTCCTTCCCCCCCCCCTCCATTACTCTCCTCCACCAGGTTCCCACCCCACCCTCTGCCCTTTCCCCACCCCCCATTGTCCTCATCCATAGGTGCACAGTTCAGTCTCTTCCCACATCCCCCTTTCCCCTTTCCCCAAGAATCATCAGTTCACTCCCCTTCCGTACCTCTGATTCTATTATATTCAGCAGTTAATATTGTTCATCAGATTTTTTTTTTTAATTTCCTTGGTTTTTAGATTCACTTGTTGATAGTTACGTATTTGTTGTTCATAATTTTTATCTTTATTTACTTTCTCTTCTGAAAGAACCCCCTTCAGCAATTCATATAATTCTGGTTTGGTGGTGATGAACTCCTTTAGCTTTTTTTTATTAGTGAAGCTCTTTATCTGACCTTCGAATCTGAGTGATAGCTTTGCTGGATAGATTATCTTTGGCTGTAGGTTCTTACTATTCATCACCTTGAATATTTCTTGCCATTCCCATCTGGCCTGCATGGTTTCTGTTGAGAAATCAGCTGACAATCGTATAGGTGCTCCTTTATAGGTAACTACCTGCTTAGCTCTTGCTGCTTTTAATATTCTCTCTTTGTCTTTTGCTCTTGGAATCTTAATTATGATGTGTCTTGGTGTGGTTCTCTTTGGATTCCTTTTATTTGGAGTTCTGTGTGTTTCCTGGACTTGTAAGTCCAATTCTTTCAAAGGTGGGGGAAGTTTTCTGTCACTATTTCTTTCAGTATGTTTTCAATATCTTGCTCTCTCTCATCTTCTGGGACCCCCATAATTCTGATGTTGGTTCTCTTGAAGTTGTCCCAGAGGTTTCTTACATTATCTTCAATTCTCTGGATTCTCTTGCCTTCTAGCTTCTGCGGAGGAGTGTCTTCTGGCTCTTTATGTTCCAAATCTTTGACTTGATTCTTGTGATCTTCTATTCTGTTTTTAGTACTCTGTATAATATTTTTTATTTCAGACAATGTATTCTTTATTTCTTGTTGATCCCTTATCATTTCTTGCTGATTCCTTATTAACTCTAGTTGATCCCTTTTCATATCCTCATAGGTCTTATCAATCTTTTCTAGGAAATTCTTGAAAAACCTTTTAAGGATAGATTTGAACTCTATATCCAGTTGCTTTTTGTCCTCCATTTCTTTTGTTTGTGATCTATTTGGTCTCGGCATTTTCTCACACAGCTTTCCCGATGGGGTGGGGTTTCAGGGTGGAGCCTACAGCTTTGGCTTCTGTCAGCCCCACCCTATGTGGCTCCTGAGTCTCAGGGTCCTTCAGTACTCTTGCAGGTGTCTCTGAGAGATAGGAGCCCTCGATTTTCGCCTGCTACCAAACAGTCTAGGCTCTCCCCCAATGAGCCCGGAACTGGGGTTCAGTTCAGTTGGAAGTGGAGTTGGAGGTGGCATTCAGAGCAGTCTGGAGCCCCAGTCTCCTTCCCACCAGGGCAATCCTGCTGCACAGCCTGCCGTCCCTTCTCTGTGCTCAATGTGCGCGCCTCCAGGACCTCCTTTCACCACTCCCCTGGGATTCTGCCTTATAGCCCAGCTCCCTCTGTATGAGCCTGGGTCCCCGGGGTCTAGCCTAGAACTGGGGTTCAGAGCAGTCGGAACTGGGGCCCAGCACAGTTGGAGCTTTTATCTCCTTCCTGCTAGGGAACGCCAGCCAGGCACTCAGCCTCCCTCCTCTCCGGCTCCGTCCTCTCCGCACACGCCACGTCTCTCCGTACCTTAGGGTCTTACAGCTCCTCTGTTCTTCCTTCTGGTTTTCTCCTTGCTTCTTCTTGTAGAATTTCCAGTCAGTCAACTTTCCTGTAGTTCTGGGTAATGTCCATTTTATATTTTAGTTGTATTTTATTGAAATTGTTGTGTGCGGCTGTGGCTAGGTGGTGCAGCCATCTTGGATTCTCCTGGAATTGTAATTTTTTATTGCTTTCCAAAAATGGAGATTTAAAATAATATCTGGTCTCACTCAACAGTTAGATATCTCAGTTGCTTTTGGGTCAACTGGCTTACAGACTTTCTCACAGGCACACATAGATTTCTTACCAGGTTTTCAACTTAACTTGATTCAACTGATGATGCTTAATACCCAAGATTCATCTATTGTACTTCAGGTTTTTTTCACAGCAATAAATCTTCAGTTTTTGGTTTATGATTCCACTCTAAAAAAATAAATAAAATAAATAAAAATAAAGTGAATAAAAAATTGTCTGTGTACATATTTTAACATTGCCCCCCCCCATACAAACATACCCTCCCTCCCCAGAGTTTTGTGTTCATTGTTTGTATTTATATGCATGCATACAAGTCCTTCGGTTGATCTATTATCTCTCCCAGATCTCCCTCCCCTCCCCGCTGTAATTTGACAGTCTGCTTGTTGTTTTACTGTCTCTATATCTATCTTTTGGTTCATCAGTCTATAATGTTCTTTATTATCCATAAATGAGTGAGGTCATGTGGTGTTTCTCTTTCATTGACTGGCTTATTTCACTCAGCATGATGTTCTCCAATTCCACCCAGGTTGCTGCAAATGATGAGAAGTCCTTCTTTTTTATGGCAGCATAGTATTCCATTGTGTAGATGTACCATGGTTTTTTGATCCAATCATCTGCTGACGGACATCAGGCTGTTTCCAAATTCTAGCTATTGTAGATTGTGCTGCTATGAACATAGGGGTGCATATATCCTTTCTGATTGGTGTTTCTAGTTTCTTGGGATATATTCCTAGGAGTGGGATTACTGGGTCAAATGGGAGTTCCATTTTCAGTTTTTTGAGGAAACTCCACACTGTTCTCCACAGTGGTTGCACCAGTCTGCATTCCCACCAGCAGTGCACGAGGGTTCCTTTTTCTCCGCAACCTTGCCAACACTTGTCATTTGTTGATTTGTTGATGTTGGCCATTCTGACAGGTGTGAGATGGTACCACATTGTTGTTTAGATTTGCATCTCTCGGATAATTAGTGACTTTGAGCATGTTTTCGTGTCCCTTTTGGCCTTCCTCTGTCTTCTTTGGAGAATATTCTATTTAGGTCCATTGCCCATTTTTTAATTGGATCATTCATCTTCCTTTTATTTAGTTGTATAAGCTGTCTGTAGATGTTGGAGATTAAACTTTTATCAATGGTAACATTTGCAAATATGTTCTCCCACACAGTGGGCTTTCTTGTTGTTTTGTTGATGGTTTCTTTTGCTGTAAAAAAGCTTTTTATTTTGATGTAGTCGCATTTGTTTATTTTCTCCTTAGCTTCCATTGTCCTAGGGGCAGTATCAGTGAAGAAGTTCTTTTGGCATATAACTGAGATTTTGCTGCCTGTGGATGTTTCTAGTATTTTTATGGTTTCCCGTGCTATGTTTAAGTCCTGTATCCTTTTTGAGTTTATTTTTGTGTATGGTGTAAGTTGGTGATCTAGTTTCATTCTTTTGCCTCTATCTGTCCAATTTTCCCAACACCATTTATTGAAGAGACTGTCTTGACTCCATTGTATATTCATGCCTCCATTGTATATTTATGCCTCCTTTGTCAAATATTAATTGAGCATAATGACTTGGGTTGATATCTGGGTTCTCGATTCGATTCCATTGATCTATATGTCTGTTCTTGTGCCAGACCCAGGCTGTTTTGAGAACCGTAGCTTGTAATACAGTTTGAAGTCTGGTATTGAGATCCCTCCTACTTTACTCTTCTTTCTCAGGATTGCTGTGGCTATTCGGGGTCTTATATTGTTCCAAATGAACTTTTGGAGAGTTCATTCTAGGTCAGTGAAATATTTTAATGGGAAGTGCATTGAACCTATAGATTGCTTTAGCAAGTATGGACATTTTGATGATGTTGATTCTACCAATCCATGAACATGGTATGTTCTTCCATCTGTTTACATCTTCCTCTATCTCTTTTCTCAGTGTCGTGTAGTTTTCCACAAATAGGTCCTTTACTTCCTTAGTTAAGTTCATTCCTAGGTATCTTAATTTTTTGTGTGCGATGGTAAATGGAATTGGTTTTTTAGGCTCTGTTTCTGTAGTTTCACTGTTGGTGTATAGAAATGCCATGGATTTCTTGGCGTTAATTTTGTATCCTGCTACATTGCCAAATTCATTTATTAAGTCAATTAGTTTTTTAATGGAGTCTTTTGTTTTTTTTATGTACAATATCATGTCGTCTGCAAATAAGGATAACTTTACTTCTTTTCCAATTTGGATGCCTTTTATTTCCTCTTCTTGTCTAATTGCAATGGCTAGTACTTCCAGTACTATGTCAAACAGGAGTGGCGATAGTGGGCATCCCTGTCTTGTTCCTGTTCTTAGAGGGAATGATTTTAGTTTATTTCCATTGAGTATGATGTTGGCTGTGGGTTTATCATATATAGCTTTTATTATGTTGAGGTATGATCCTTGTACTCCCACCTTGTTGAGAGTTTTTATCAGGAAAGGGTGTTGGATTTTATCAAATGCTTTTTCTGCATCAATTGATACGACTGTATGATTTTTTGTTTTGTTTATGTGATGTATCACATTTATTGATTTGCGGATATTGTACCCTTCTTGCATTCCTGGAATAAATCCCACTTGGTCATGGTGTATGACCTTTCTGATGTTCTGCTGGAGCCGATTTGCTAGAATTTTGTTGAGGATTTTGGCATCTATGTTCATGAGGGATATTGGCCTGTAATTCTCTTTCATTGAGTTGTCTTTATCTGGTTTTGGTATTAGGGTGATGCTGGCTTCATAGAAGGAGTTTGGAAGTGTTCCTCTTGGATTTTTTGAAATAGTCTGAGGAGGATAGGTTTTAGTTCTTCCTTGAATATTTGGTAAAACTCTCCTGTGAAGCCATCTGGCCCTGGGCTTTTGTTTGCTGGAAGCTTTTTGATGACTGTTTCAATTTCTTCCAAGTCACTGGTCTATTGAGCTTTTTAGATTCTTCCTGATTGAGTTTTGGAAGTTTGTATTTCTCTAGGAATATGTCCATTTCCTCCAGGTTGTTCAGTTTGTAGGAATAGAGTTGTTTGTAGTATTTTGTAACAATCCTTTGTATTTTGGCGGGGTCTGTTGTTATTTCACCTCTTTCGTTTCTGATTTTGTTTATTTGGGTCCTCTCTCTTTGTTTCTTGGTTAGCCTGGCTAGAGGTTCATCTATTTTGTTTATCCTTTCAAAGAACCAGCTCTTGGTTTTGTTGATCTTATGTGTTGTTTCGTTGGTCTCTATGTCGTTTATCTCCGCTCTGATTTTTGTTATTTCCTTCCTTCTGCTTACACTGGGATTTTCTTGTTGCTGTTTTTCTAACTCTTTGAGTTGTAGAATTAGATAATTTATTACCATTTTTTCTAGTTTTTTGCAATAGGCTTGTAGGGATATGAACTTTCCTCTCAAAACTGCGTTTGCTGTGTCCCATAGATTTTGGATTGTTGTGTTTTCATTGTCATTTGTTTCCAGGATGTTTTTAATTTCTTCCTTGATTTCTCTGGTAACCTAGTCCTTGTTTAATAACATGCTGTTTAGTCTCCGTGTGTTTGATTTCTTTGGATTATTTTTATTGTAGTTAATTTCCAGTTTTATGCCACTATGATCTGAGAAGATGCTTGATATGATTTCTATCTTCTTGAACTTGCAGAGACTTTGCCTGTGCCCCAAAATGTGGTCTATCTTTGAGAATGTCCCATGTGCACTTGAGAAGAATGTATATTCTGTGGCTTTGGGGTGGAATGTTCTGAAGATGTCGATTAATTCCATCTGGTCTAGTGAGTCATTTAGGATTGATATTTCTTTGCTGATTTTTTGTTTAGATGATTTGTCCAAGGGTGACAGTGGGGTATTAAAATCTCCTACTATGATTGTATTGCTATTAATCTCTCCCTTAATGTCCTCCAGCAGTTTTTTTTATTATGTATTTGGGTGCTCCCATATTGGGCGCATATATATTTACCAGGGTTATTTCTTCTTGTTGGATTGCTCCCTTTATATTTTGAAGTGGCCTTCATTATCTCTTGTTATGTCCTTCACTCTGAAATCTAATTTGTCAGATATAAGTATTGCTACCCCAGCTTTTTTTTTCATTTCCATTCGCCTGGAAAAACCCTAACCCTAACCCTAACCCAAACCCTAACCCTAACCCTAACCCTAACCCTAACCCTAACCACAGCCTTCCCTCTGAGCCCGTAGCTCCGGGAGAGGTCGCCGCCGCCGCCGCCGCCGCCGCCGCCGGGCTGGCTGCTTGGTCAGGAAATCCTGTCCAGCGGACCCTTCCTTACCTTCCTTTAGAGTTCTTCTGCCCCTTAGCTGCCAATCAATATTCCCCCAGTGACTCAGATGCTGCTTTTATCTGTTCTGGGACCAGGGTCAGAACAAGTCCGTCTGTTCGGCTGCCATCTTCTCTCCTAGGCTCCTCAGCTTTTCAGCGCTTGCACTCCACTCTCTTTCAGCCAGCCTTCCCATGGTTTTGGATGATAGATGTCCTTTGTATTAGTTTTAATTTTTTAAATTGTTGTGCGAGCAGCAGACCAGCTGTTCACCTACGCCACCATCTTGGTTTCTCTCTTAGAATCTGGCGGGACGAGGGCATCCCTGGCTGGGTCCGCAGCCCTCCGCTCTGGCTTTATGCCGGTCTGCTGCAAATATGTTTCAATATCTTGCTCTCTCTCTTCTTCTGGCACCCTCATAATTTGGATAGTGATATGCTTGAGGTTGTCCCAGACACTCCTTACACTATCTTTATATTTTTGGATTCTTTTTTCTTTTTGTTTTTCTGGTTGGTGTTT